TGCAGAGAAAAATGCCATTTTCACCCAACCCTATCAGGAGGACCGCTATCAACATGATGTAAGACTGTCCATGTTGACCTGGTCACCATGCTGAGACAGCTCCTCACTTATCCACTAGAGAGTGCTCACTTCCCCCTGCTCTCTTTCCACACTGCACTCCTAGGAAAGCGGTCACCATGCTCAGCCCACACTCAGGAGCAGGGAGTTATGCTCCCCTTCCTGAGGGCTGGAATATCTACATAAGTTATGGGAATTTCTCTGCATGGAAAGTTAGTCTCTTTGCCCACATTTTTTATTCAATTATTTATACTAGCACACTTTCATGGGTATTTACCTTATACTTGTATTATAACCAATATTATTTTATTTATTTTTGCTTTACTAGTCCCATCTATGGCCATTGGGCACTCTTTGTATCCCTTTGGCATACTCCTGTGTGTGTGTGTTGTGTATGTGTGTGTGTGTGTGTGTGTGTTGCCAGCACTTTATTGTCTGACACTAAAAGAGGTTACAAGTTCACCCTATAAATTTCCTGTCTTAGTCCTGTATCAAATATTTCTATAAGGATGCCTGATTCATTCTATTGAAGAATTGCATTAGAAAGCAAGATTCATGTATAGGTGCCAAGTACAAAATTTATCTTTAAAATAGGGATATGCCTAAGCTAAGCATTAACATATATCTTTATGTGTAGGAGATTTGTAGATAAATTTTAACCAACACTTCTCTACTTTATGTTCATCTGTTTTCCCTCATGTTTTAGTAATGATCATGAAATATATCTGTAATGAAAATCATTACTACAATTGTTTATTAATTTATAAAAATAATCCATTTCAACAATAAAACTCAAGCTAGGATCAACTCCTACTATATTAGTATTTAGTATCAAAAGTAAACTGAGAGGCTGGTGCTGAAGTGTAGCCAGTAAAGCAGCCACCTGCAATGCTGGCATCCCAAACAGGCGCCGGTTCAAGTCCTGGCTGCTCCACTTCCAATCCAACTCTCTGCTATGGCCTGGGAAAACAGCAGAAGATGGGCCAGGGACTTGGGCCCCTGCACCCACAGGGGAGATGAGGAAGAAGCTCCTGGCTCCTGGCCCAGCTTTGGCTGTTGCAGCCATCTGAGGAGTGAACCAGCAGATAGAAGACCTGTCTTCTCTCTGCCTCTGCCTCTGCTCTATGTAACTCTGCCCTTCAAGTAATAAATAAATAAATCTTTAACAGCAACAACAAAAAAGTAAACTGAGAATACTGAAAGTTCCACGTATTTGTCTCTCAAATAAAATGTGATATTTCAAAATTGAAAGTATTCCTTCAAATTAGAATAACACCCATTTTCCAAGAGATAATTTTTCAACTAAGTCAACATTCCTTTCTTCCACATGGTAATCATGTTAAATATGAGGGTCAGCTATTTATCTGAAAACAACAATAACAAATACAAAACCCCGGGAAGCTTGAATTTAACATGTATGGTCTGATCTTTATTATAAGGATAAAAAACAAAAAGCGCCAAAACTGATTTCACACATGGTATATAATTTAGACATAATTTAAGATTAATCCATCATTAGAATAGGCCAGTTATGAATATAAATGTGGGAAATGGTTTCTCTGGGATTATTTAAGCAACTTAAGGAGATAATTTTATTTTTTTGAGCCCTGTTTTTAGCAGGGGAGCTTCATACATGCTGATGTTTAATATCTGGAGTGTAATATTTCTCTGCCTCTTTACTAGGGCAAATCCAGACAATATCTCCACTGAGCTATTTTATTAGTCTGAATTCTACTTTGCAATATGCTTGAAACTATATACGCCTAAGTTACTTACTTAGATAGGCATCTAGACAGCTTGCTCATTCCAGAACAAACAGGACACCATAATCCTTAAAATCTTTTCAGCATATGTAAAAGACTGATTAAAGAGCAGGCCCCATGAAATGCATAATTGACTAGCATAGGAGAAAGAAGCATTTGCCTGAGGGTAGAATGATAATCTCATCTCTACCCCTCTGTCCTACTTAATATATTTTCTGTGAAATTAATACTACTCTATCACTATTCAGATACTTGAAAATCAGATTTATTTTGCAATTTTATTGACTTTCTCCTAACAAGTAGTGGTTCAATTTAATGAGGTTTAGTGCTACATCATTAGAAAAAAAAAAAAAACACAAAATTCCCCATTTCTCCTATAATCTGCTATTGAAAACTCGCTAAGAGAACAAACTGAAACCACCAAATTTTAGAAATATAATAAGTTGAAGTTATTATGTTAAACATGCTAAACAAAAGGAAGCCAGTCCTAATTTCTAAAGTAGAAGACACCTTACCATTAAAGGAAGATGTAGTGAATACAAAAAGATACATCCAGAAAGACACACCCTAGGCCATTCAATTTTCAGCTTATTTATACATTTCTTCAAGAAGATAATATTAATAGCTTATTGCATTGAGAAAAGAATGAGCAAATGGAATAAATTTGCAACAAAAGATCAGTAAGCTGGTTAAAGATGTCCTGATTCACAGCTACAAAAAATTAATTTATTAAATTTATTAACATATAGACAAGCAATCAATATTGAAAAGAATACATAAAATGTCACCAAAATCATTAAAAGCCTAACAAGAAGGTATACTTCTTTATATAACCAGTTTTATAAAAGCTCTTATTTATATATCTGTGTTTAATAACATATTACTTAAAAGTCTAATAATTAAATTACAGCTCTTCACTCAAATGTCAAAGTAATTTCAAAGTTATTTCAAGTTTTTATCAGTTTAATTCTTACATCACATTTGTCTTTTGCTTTATTGTTTTTTGTACGTATTATACAGGTTTTTCAGTTAAGGTGAGCTAACATGGACACAGATGATGTAGAAACCCACTTATTGATCGGGTCTTGCTAAAAAGTAACAGAAATTAAGAACTTCTTAAAGCATGTGATTTTCCACTAAGAATTCTTATACTCACACACCCTATCTTATCTGATCATTACACCATTCCTGTATGTTATACCTTATCATAGAACCCCCAGTTTCTCACTTTATTTTTTAATTACAGTGTAAAATCCAGACTTAGGGAATTATTATCTAAGAGATAATAAAGTATAAACTTAAGGATCTTTAGTCTGATATTTTGTAGGGAATAAAAAGGTTCAAAATCAATATTAATTGTTTAAATAGTTAGACTTCAATGAAATCTGGAATGTTCAGCATGGTAGTAAATCAGAAGGTAGAACCTTCAAGAAAACCAACTCCTTCCCTCAAGGTTCTTATATTAGGGATTCTAAACAACAAAATAAAAAAAAAAGGAAGGAAGGAAGGAAGAAAAAAATGATTGAAAACAGTATGAAAGGAAGGACAAAGGTCTAAAAATACCTAGGGCTTTGGTCAAGGTGAACCTTTTTTTTAAAAAAAACTACATTCTGAGGTAGGAGCAAATGTGATCAACACGTATTTGCCACGGTCATTCATTACTGTTCTTGTTCTTATTACTTATTCCACAAATGTGAATATTTCCTTCAAGGATTATATGACTGTGTGTTTAAATACTTTGAGGATTCTATGTAGTGCCACACACTTAAAGGAAAAATAATAACTTCTCAAAGAAGGTCTACAGTTACTCCTGTTTATCAAAGACATTATTTATTAAATGGCAAGGAAGCTTCCCAAAGAACATAAGGTATCCAAGGATGGAGCTTCCCAGACAGAAAATACAAGTTTAGAGCCGTTTGTTTTTCCCCCAAATAATATCTATCTGAAAACATACCATCAGCCATTCAACTAGCACCAGTGGGAATGTCTCCCCTTGACACTGAGAAGTGGATATTCACATGCAGGACAAAAATGGTGGTAAAGAGGACGTCCCACCACCCTTTGGATACTTAACACGGATCTGTGCACAGGAAAGGGTGCACGGGGCACCTTGGAACTTCCTGCCATTCCAACCCATAACCGCCCTGGTTTGCAGAAAGGAAGGATGATGTGAGAGTAACGCAGGTCAGTGGTGCAGGTTCAGCCCTAACATCTGACCTCTTCATTGTCAAAAATAGGCGCTGTGCTTCCTCTGCCTTTAATTGTTCAGAATCCTGACTTTTCCTGCCACGGAGAAAAATCCCCACTCTCAATTACGTCAAACGAGATTAGAAACTCACTCCTCTTGTGTGCACCGTTCCCCTCCAAAATATGAAACGTGTAAGACTTCTCTATAAAGGCAAAAGGAAAGTCGGAGCAGGATCTCTCCGCCTTGCACCCCTAGTGCCTGCTCAGGTCCGAGGTGCGCCAGGGTGCACTGGCAGGAAGCTGGATCAGAAGAGGAGCAGCCAGGGCTGGAGCCCAGGCCCTGGGACATGGATGCACCCGGGAGTCAGATCTTTACCCTTCTTCCTAATGGGCACCACACTCTCGCAAAGGTGACCCAGGTACTCACGAAGGCACACAATGGTGCCAACACAGCAGGTGAGTTTTCCAGTGTTCCTGTCAGAGACCACAAGCAAAGAGAGGAAAACAACTGTGCAAAATTCTCAATGCAGTCACGGGGTTGCAGCTTGTAAGCTGTTTCCTTCTCCCTCTGCAAACATCGTTAAACCCACCAATAACCCTACCAAAGACAGAGACAGCTGCCCGGCCGTGGACACAGACGCGGGCTTGTGATGCCGGCTGTCCCATACCTGGCCGGCTCTGGGGTGTCCATCACAGCCACACATGGTGATGGAGGCGGATGGGAGCTTTGGGGCGCCCTTCCTCGCAGTGGGGTCACAGAACGTCGCCTGAAGTCCCTCGCAGGAGACCCCACCCCCCAAGCGTGTCAGATCTGTGCCTCGTTGCAGGGACGTGGCCACTGACGCCTGCACCGCTCCGGGCCACCTGTTGCTTCCTGACCTCACTCAACACTGACTCCTGAATGGGACGGTACCCACTGCCCACTCTCCGCGTCCCTGCCCTTTCCCAACGGAGACGGCGGAGGATGGTGCCACTCAGAATGTCCATTGTGGCATGGCTGGCACAGGACCCCCGGGGCACGGCAGGTGCCCGTTGCCCGCTCCGCCAGCGGCTGCATTCCCCAAAAGCACACCATCCCATCGTGTCTGCTGCCTCCTGACCCCCGGCCCTTATCTCATCCCACATCACCTTCCTGCGTTTCCTGGCCTCTCCCTGCCCCGGGCCATCCCTGGGTCTCCGGAGCGAGCCGTGGCCACGCCCGAGCTGGCGCGGGTTACCAGCAGCCGCGGGGCTGGGACCGCTCGCCGCCGGGCCCGGGCTTCGCGCTCGTCCTGGCCGCTGGGGCCTCGGAGAGCGGCGGCAGGAGCGAGGCATCACCCGAGCGCTGACAGGCGCCTCTCCGCCTTCCCCGCCCGGCGCATTCGCCTTGCCACGTGCAGAACCCGGCAGGCGCGGACCGCCCGCGCCCTCGCGGTTGCCGTGGCTACGCACGAGCGGCCGCAGCTGACCCAGGCGGGGCCTCCCTCCGCCGCCTCCGCCTCGGGCTCCGTCCCCGCTCGGTTAGGGAACCCCAAGCCCCCGGCCCCTACAAGCTGTGCACACCTGCAGCAGACCCGTTTCTGCAAAGCTGTGAGTCCTCTCCCCCCTGTCCTGTGTGGGCGCCACGGTAAAAGGGGATGCCGGGGTTTGGATGCGAGAGGGAAGCGTCCCGGTGGAGAGCCCGACTAGTGCTGCGCTCCACGCCGGGCGCCACGCCGGAGAGGTCGCCCGTGACAACCCCCTGCGTCTGTCCCGGCTGTCAAGTCCGCACCCCGCGCCGGCGCGCGAGGCCGAGGCCAAGTCCTCGGGGAAGCGAAGGCAGGCGGCGGCCGCCGGTGCGCAGCCGGGGCAACCGGGGAGCGCGCGGCTGCGGGCGCGCCGGGACCAGCAGGGCGCCGCGCCCGGGTCCGTGCCCACCAGGGGTCGCCTCCGGGCCTGTCCGGGGCCGCTGCGGGATTCCGCACTCCGGCAGGAGCGAGTGTGCTGGTGTCCCGAGTCCCACTCTCGCCTCAGGGGCTGGAGAGACGCGCGCGCGCTCTCATCCCGCGGAACGCACACGGCGGCTCGCGGCAGCCCCTCAAAGCGCCACGGAAAACATCCCCACCTCAGCCCACCCGGACCAGGCGCGAGCGAGCGAGCGAGCGCGCAGATGCCCTTGGTGGGGGCGGGAGGGGTCCTCTCCCCACGGTGCCCACCGACGCGTCTCCAGTGAACCTGCCGCTGGGGGAAGCCGCCGGCCGCGGTGGGAAGCGCTCCCCGCTGCCCTGACAGGGGGAAGGGGCCGGGGGTGCGAGGGAGCCCGCGAGGAAGCCCCGAGTTCCTGGGCGAGTCTCGGGAGAAAACTTTGCGCGGCGCGGGCAGCGCGGGCTGGGGGTGCGCAGTCCCGGCGGGGCTGCCGCGCGGGGACCCCCTTGCCGCCCCGCGCGCCCGCTCCGCTCGGGACGCTTCCCTTTCCCGCAGCCGCCGCGGTGCCCCCGAGTCCCGTCCCCGGCGCACCTCTCCTCGGGAGCAGCAGGTGACCCGAAAGCAGCCCTACCTGCTGCGGACGCTTCTCGGTCTCTCTCTCCCCGCCGTCTCGCTCCTCCTCGGACGCGCTTCTCCGGAGAGACGGAGGCGCTGAGGGCCGAGGGCGGGAGGCGCGGCGGCCCGGGGCACCGGCGCGAGTCGCTCTGAGCCGCAGCCCTGGCGGAGCCGCCGGCGGCCCTGGCGGAGCGCGGAGGCTGCGGCCGCCGCGGCCAAGCCGGGAGGCAGGGGGCGCTGGTGCGCGCGGGCTTCGGGCCGCGGAGGGCGGGCGGGCGGGCGGGCGGCAGCCGGGGCCGGGCCGAGGCGAGGGTGGCGCGCTCCGAGCCGGAGGGCGGCTTTTAACTTTGTGGTGTGACCGCAGCAGCTGTCCTGGGAGAGACTCGGTCTTTCTAAAAAGGGGATGCTGAACACGCCGGGGATTACCTCTCCCTTCCGATCCCCTCCCACTGCCTGGCCCTTCCCTCCGCGCTCCGAGTTCCCCCAGCGCGCGCTCGGAGGCGGCTCCGGACGCGCCGAGGGACCTTAGCAGGAGCTGGGCTCCCCTGGCCCGTCCGAGCCCGACCCGGGCGACCTGGGGACCTGTTCATTCCCCCCTTTCTACGCCACAGAGTCTTTTAAGGACCTCGTGAGGAGTGACTGGCACACCCTGCGTCCTGAAAACCCCAGGCCTGTGCCTGTCCACGACGTGGAGCCGCTGGGCTCAGTCCACGGCCTTGCGAGGGCAGGCGTGGGCACGAGCGACGGGTCTCAGCCCTCCGTGAGTGGGTCTGGCACCCAGGGAGAACCAAGCAGACGGAAAGATCCCCCAGGCAGGCAGGGCTGCGCCAGGTCCTCTGGATTGCAGGAATCTGTTTTGGAGATTTTTGCACCCTTTGGTCATGCAATAGGAAACTTAGAAGGCTGTGTGGAAAAGGAGCAGGTCCATGTTTTGTGGAAACTTACACCATTTGGAAGTGGGATCTTTTTAAAATAATGCGGAAACTGCTCACTGTTCCCACCCGGCTTACAGAAACCGAGGGTGATGTGAATTCTTAGGGCCGTCGTCCAGCTCCTGGATCCCCACGCTCAGGCTTTGTGAGCTGCCGTGGGAAGTGCCTCTGGTTGGAAGGGGAGCCACGGCCCTTCCCTGGTGGACTTGGTTTCCAGCACTCGGTGTGCGGTCCCAGAGTTCCCTCGGAAAATGATAGGGGTTGGGGTGCTGAGCAGACAAGGGCCATCCTGGAGGACCCTCCACGGAGCCTCCCAGCTGCAGCAGGGAGCTGTGGGCCGCATGAGTCACTGGTAGCTGCAGACGGCCAGTGGCAAGGCCCGGCGAAGGCAGACGCAAGCTTCCTCACCCTGCCCAAGCTGCTTTCCTGCGTCTCCTACTGCCCCATCGCCATGACCTTGGTTTTTGACTGTCTCCCAGCCGACCCCATAATTACCCTCTTTGCATCCAGGAAAGCTGCAGTGCCCACAGACGACTGCCACCTATAGACACCTCCGTCTGAAGGCTTCGTGTCCTTGTCATGCCTCTCGTTTTGTCATTAATGAGACTCTCCTTGTCCTGTCGGTTTTTTTTTTTTTTTGCACTTTATTTTTGTATTGTTATTTGTGTATGTCATTGCCCTCCCTCCAAATGGCAAGTTCGTGGTGAGGACAAAATGCTTCTTTTTGTCTCCTGGGGGCATAGCTTAGTGCTTAGCACAGGGTGCATTCAGGATAAGTAGTCCGTTTTTATTCCAAAACTTATTTGTTACTTTTCTAGTAATGGTATCCATGTTTTGGCCGGGACATTGTATTTCGCTAGAATTGTCATTAACTCTGGGTTTCTCCCTTTCTCCTCCTGTCCAAACCGTAGCTTCAAACTCTCAAACCAAGCAACAGCTCCAGTTTGCTGCTATTTCAGCGCTTTCCGCAAAGCCCTCACAGAATGAATCGCCAGCTCTTGGTTTCCCCAAGCACTTTTATTTCACTACTATTACAAGCCCCTGTTGAGTGTATCATAGTTATTTGTGCATGCGTCTGCATCCCACGGAAAAGTGCTGGCTGTTTCGTGTCTTTGTTTCCGCACAATACAGCTGGTACTGGGCTGATTTAGTTTCAAGTATCCTGGCTTCAAATTTAGACTGAGTTTAATAGGGCATCCTGAAAATACCCTCAGAAGACAACATCTGGAATATGGGTTCTCTGCTTTCCTTCCTTTTAATTACTCTGAGCACAAAGCAGGCAGAATCTACCACACAGCCCAAAGTGACCACTGACCAGCCTCAGCTGGGTCCATGGGTTTGCCTTGTTTCCTTGAGTGTGCTGCGTGCGCATGGTGTTTAACACACATCAGTGGGTCAAATGAGTTGATGGAACTAGTGGACATGATGATGGTGGTGATTGAATTTATTTCTGAATTTGTAACAACTGTACAGTTTCCCATCAGGATGGTGTTGACTACCCTAAGAGTTTGAGATTTACAGTCATCAAAAGCTACTGGGTAATTTGTCCTATACAGCTAATGCCCTATGTCAATCCTTGCAATAAAATTCAGGGTTAGGGGGAGCATATTTTACACAAAGTCTTCCTAAAATGCAAAACAGTTGAGCTTTCCTGTGAGGGTGATCTTTCAAGTTTCAACTGGTGACCCTTCATTGCACTGAATGAGACACAAAGTTCATCAGTTGGAACACAGCTGATTGCCACTGGTGTGCCTGTTTCAGTCTGAAGAAAAGAAAACAACTTCAAAGCGCTTGGAAAAGTTGTTGAATAGGAAAGCTGGCTGTCCTGGAAATCCCGGCTACTGCTCTGTAACACAAGGCACCTCACCTGTCTCTGCTCAGGCACACAGGTAAAATCTGCCTCACTCTCACTGCCTGTATTGATAAGTGTTGGGTAACGTGAAATACTCTGTTGCTCAAAGGATTGCATTTTTTTTTTAATAGGCAGAGTGGACAGTGAGAGAGAGACAGAGAGAGAGAGAGAGAGAGAGAGAGAAAGGTCTTCCTTTGCTGTTGGTTCACCCTCCAGTGGCCGCTGTGGCCAGCGCACTGTGCTGATTCAAAGGATTACATTTCAATACTGAATGCAGCCAAAGAATAAAGTTCTCATTGTAGGCTTTCAGTGACTATTAGTCCGATCGAGGATCCATGGGCTAGCTTGATAGGATGGGTAAGGGTAGAATAGGAGTATTCGAGACTTGTCTGACTCCACATATAGCTACTCAGCCCAGGAGACAGGAGAAAGATAATTGCTGGGTCTAGAATTTAAATCTAGCAGGATCTCAGAGCAGCTGACCATGCTCGGCAGAAGCTACTAAACTTGTAATTCTTTTCCAACAAAATCTAGTCCCGGTTTTCTCAGAAGGATCTCACATTCAGAAATGGAAATGTGTTGGATTAAAAAGAAAAAAAAAATGCAAAACAAGATTTGGAAAAGTTTATGCACAAACAGGAAAATGGAATTAAAAGTCAAGCCAGTTAGTGTTCATCTTAATGAAACTAGTCCCAACTGGGTCGTGATAAAACCTCTCTGTTTACACTAAATACTGATTTATGAATGTTTTCCAAAATATTAACATATCTACTGACAGGTAAGACAGAGAACTGGGACATATGTTAATTGATGTCTCATGGAAGGAGTGAGGGCATGCGTTGAAAACAGCCCTAACTGCCAACAGGTACTTTCCTCTTAGAAACTTCAGGTGTGCATTTGATCTACACATCTACTGCATCTGACCATGGCGACTTACTTATCATTGGGTAGTTAGGTGTTTATACTCCCAAGATCATTAGGTGTGTTTAGTGGTGGAAACTAGCCTGCCTGCCTTTTATCTTTTATTTCAGTATGAGTTACACACACATAGAACTCTCAGAAGTGAATGTGTTCCTGTTTCTCATTTTCAGATGGAAAGAGAAGACAGTTTACGGTTAGATAATTGGAATGAAAAATTGTCCAAACTTTGCCTCATGTCTTCAAGTTTTAAACTCTCATATGATCATAAACAATTGCCAATATTCAGAGTTGGGGAATACCCCCAGAGAGCATAGGGTATAACACAGGACACCACAGCCAAGGAAGATGCTGGTCATCCCACTCTTTCTGACCCTCCCCTGATGCCCTCTCTACAACACCTCAACCTGCTTCAGGCTTTTTACTTTAAAAAGAAAAAAAATCAGCTATTTTTCACAACCTTTCCAAGCCAGAACTTAAGGTTATATTTACTTAGCTGGGTTGGGGTGTGGTGAATAATTAAATTCAGCAGGAATGTGCTTCAAAATAAAAATAAAAACACAGCCCAGCCCCGTTGGCCCAAATCCTGAGACCTCAGAAAAGAAAAACTCCTTGACTGCGAAAGTTCACTGGAAGTGGGGAAGGTTTTCCAGGCCTGACATGGGAATCCAGAGCTACTGCAGAAGGGAGATCTAAAGTCAGATAAATGCCTCTTTGTGTCTGATTCTTAACATTGAACTTCTATCAATAAACACTCCCCAGGGAAGGATGTTAAGGAAAAATAAACAACTTTCCTATACATTTATATAGGGAAAACATCACCTTTAAGTTTGCTTTTCTTAATCCTCATACCACCATCCTGTACCCTTAGAGCGTATTCAGATGCAATGGATTCTTCCAAGAAAGTGGAGGTGGAGAGGGGACTGATGTGATTTCTAATTGAGGCAAGCCTTATTTGTACAGGGTGATGAAATGAAGAAAAATATGCCCTCTTGTGGCTTATTTGTTCTGGTTCAGAGGTAATCAACAGGACTCTATTATTTCCTGAAAGCCAAACATACCTATATCCCAAGTGGAATTAAACTATGTCTTTGTGCAGTCACTGCAGAGAGCAGGTCCATGCAGACAGCAGGAAGGCATTCCAAGGCTTCTGCTTTGTTCAAGGTCATGAGCAGCTGTGTAGCCACAATGAAATCAGTATCCCTGAAAACAGGGGCAGATTTTCTAAAATAACCCACAAATTCCTATAGATATTATCAAAACGCCTTCCAAATAAGTGCATTAGATAGAATTTCTTAAATAATGAGGTTTGTGTTGGACAGGCTTAAACCATTGGCTTCTACAAATAGGAGAAAGTTCATGATTTCCCTTCCTACTGTATTTGTGCCTCTGCTGTTTCTTTGAGGTGACACGTATTTCTCCATTAAAAATGTAAAGTATATGATACAGCTGTGAAGAGAACAATGATTTTCATTCTGTGCATACTTTTGCTTCCTCTTCCCCTGGTTTACTCAGAAATGAGGATGCAACAAATGTGTTAAGTCCTGTGATTTGCAGTTGCAGTTAATTGCATGATATCTCATGCACACCCCCCCACACACACACACAACAGACACCACCATGTTTTTCCTGAAAGAACAAAGTGCACATGACTAGTGGCAAAATGACCTCTTCTCATCCAGAGGATGTGTTTCATTACTAAGTAAGTGAATGTCAAATGTTTAAGACAGGCCAGCTTCAAGTGATCTGAATAGACATTTCTTGAAAGAAGAAATTACAAATAGCCAGCAAGTATATGCAAAATGCTCAATTATTATCTCTCAGGGAAATGTAAATCTCAGTACTCCAATGGCAAAGCCACTAATCTCTGTTAGAATGGCTATTACCAAAAAAGGCCAACAACAACAAAAACTGGCAAGATTGTGGAGAAAAGGGAACCCTTGTATTCTGCTGGAGAGAATGTAAATTAGCTCAGCCTTAAAGGAGAATTGTGTGAAGGGTCTTCAAACCCAAAAGAGGTCAACAACATGACCCAGCTGTCCTCCTTCTGGGTATATATCCGAAAAAAAAAATGAAAAATACTTACACCCCTACAGCCACTGCATCACTACTCACAATAGCTAAGATGTAGAATCAACCTAGGTACCCATCAGTAGATGAATGGATGAAAGAAAGGGTACATATAAAAGGGACTATTATTTAGTCATATAAAGGAATGGGGTCCTGCCATTTGCAGTAAAGTGAATGGAACCAGAGGACATTATGTTGAGATAAGTCAGACACAGAAAGACCCATGCAACATGTTTCCTTTCATACATGGAAGCTAAGCATGTTGGTCTACACATAGAATAGTGAACGGCAGAGGCTGGGAAGGGCAGGACCGGGGTGGGTAGAAGGAGGTTCATGAAGAGTATCAAAGCCCAGATCAGAGGAGGGGTTCTGGGGTTGCACAGCACATCGAGACGACTGAAGGTCAGAATAAGGTGATAGACCATTTGTGAAGAACTAGAAGAAAGGAGATAGAAGGCTCTACATGTCAAGAAATGGAATGTCCTTTACCTGAGTTCATCAGCTCATGCTGTGTACATGTGCTAAATATTCCATTGTATCATATAATAATGCACAAATATTATGTGTTCATCAAGATTTTAAAAAAAGCAAGATGCAAGCATTTTGATGCAGTGGTTAAGCCACCAACTGGGTTGTTCACATCCCCTGAATGCCTGGGTTCAAGTCATGGCTCTGCTATCCATTCCGGCTTCCTGCTAATGCACACCCTGGAAGGCTGCAGGTGAAATCACAAGTCATCCCAGCACCCATGTCAGAGACCCAGGTGAACTTCCTGGCTCCTGGATTTGGCTTGTCCCAGCCCTGGCTGTTGTGGACTTTTGGAGAGCGAACCATCACATGGGAGGTGTGTGTGTGTGTGTGTGTGTGTGAGAGAGAGAGAGAGAGAGAGAGAGAGAGAAGCTCCCATCCACTGGTTCACTCTCCAAATGCCCACAACATCCAGGGTCGGTCTTAGCTAAAGCTAGTATCCTGGAACTCAAATCCAGTCTCTTAAGTCTCAAGGACTCAAATTCAAGCTATCATCTGCTGCCCCAAAGGGTGCACATTAGCAGGAAGCTGGATTGGAAGTGGAGCTGAAGTTCATGCCCAGGCCTTCTGATATGAGATATTTGTGTCCCAAGGGGAATCTTAACCACTGCAGCAAGTACTTGCCTCCCAATTAAAATATATATATATATTTATTTATCTGGAAGGGGGGAGGATCTTCCAACTGCTGATTCATTCCCCAGTGACCACAGCTGGGTGGATCCAAAGCAGGAGTCAGGAGCTTCTTCCAGGTCTCCCACATAGGTAACAGGGGCTCACACACTTGGGCCATCTTCCGCTGCTTTCCCAGGTGAATTAGCTGGAAGCTGCATAAGAAGTGGAGCAACCGGTACTCAAACCAGCACCCATAAGGGTTGCCAGCATCGCGAGTGGCAGCTTTACCTGCTATGCCACAGGCCGATCCTTCCAAATTTTATTTTTAAGTTTTCCAAAACAACGTCTACATCAAAATCTCAGAATTCCATTTTTAGCTTTTCAGAATCACATCATTTTAGATTTGTCTCATGCCTTCAACATATAATTGCAAATCAGTTTGAAAATGTTTATCTTTTAATCAATAGTCAAGGCCATTAATATTACCAATATGCTGTGGCAAAACTCTGCCACATTTTTTTAATTCTTTTCACCATATATATAATGTAACAGTTTTGTCATTTTTTTTCTGTTTTCTGGTTTTCTTTTGATTTGCCCTTCATTCCTTTTTTAAATTGTTTCCTTTGAATGGAGGTGATTTTCATTAGCTTTTCAATGAGTTAATGTAAATGAGGGTTTTTTTTTGGCTAATTTGTTCCTTTTGAAATGTTTCATATTTTCCTACATCAGCAATAACAAGTGTGTACACTAGTTGCTTAGTGTTTTAGCTATAGAATATCCTCTTCTTTGGCTACAGGGATATCCATTTCCATTCATGACTTTCTTCATTTGAGGGGAGAAGGAGGATTGCAAAGACTTCTGATTTTGCAGTTTTCTCTGGTGTCTGCAGAATGCTTAGTTATTCTCATT